CTTTCATTAGTAGGTTTTATTAAATGACATATTAGGAGATCAGGAGCCTTGGTTATACTCTAGTTATTTTCGTTTGTCTTGTATATTTCACTTTTTTATAAAATAACAATGGTATTTGTAGGGATTATTTCATATATTATGCTTATGATTTTTTTCAGACTTCCCAGGACACCAGACTTCGGGGAGCTGATGACAAGAAACCGCTTCCAGTTGTTGCTCCGCGTGATTCATTCATGCAAGTGCTAACACGGAGCCAACTCCCCGAAGACAGCCTGGTGATGAGCTCCTCGACAAGTTTAAACCGATGCTTCAACTTGTCAACAAGTCATTCGCATCAAACTATCGGTAGCTTTTGTTTTGAATGAATGTAAACAAGTTTATATGTATACTCAACAACAAATGTTCCTCTGACACCACTATTTTAGTGTATTTTTCAAACAATACTTATAATGATACGTAGTAAAGACTCGGCTTGGTCAATATGTATGAGTGAGTGAGTTAATCACATCGGCAATATTTCAGCCATATCCTGACGAGAACAATTTAGACAGTAATAAATACATTATGACTAAAAAAAACACCTGTCGACAAAGGACAGTTAAAGAAGTAGATTATCACAGATATATACTCAACAACAAACGTTCCTGTGACACCAGTATTTTAGTGTATTTTTCAAACAAGTAAAGTTTGGTTTTCAATATTGTAGTACATGTATGGAATAAAGTCACAAAAACGCAACTGCTACAGAAAAGCATGCATTCCATGCAAAAGTTGACTTTTATTCAAGCCCCATGCATTCCACTACCCAAGAATGGGTATAATAACATGTTATCGCCTGAAGTTTGATTGTTTATTTGTTATTTAACGCTGCACTCAGCAATAAATAGTCCAGCTATATGACGGCGATCTGTAAATACTCGAGTCTGGACCAGACAATCCAGTGATTGACAACATGCGCATCGATCTATTCAATTGGGATCGATGACATGCATGCATCAACCAAGTCAGCGAGCCTGACCACTCGATCCCGTTAGTCGCCTCTTACGACAAGCATAGTCGCCTTTTACGTCAAGCATGGGTTGTTGAAGACCTATTCTACCCCGGATCTTTACGGGCCTTATCCATCATGAGAAAACATGCATAATGTACATATGTGTTTGCATATATTACAGGCTGTCCCGAGATGTTTGTGTGGTGTCCCGAGATGTTTCTGTGGATGAGAGGGTCGTTGGTTTCGGGGGGGGGGCAACAATTAAGCTGAAGCTGTACCTGGCCAAGAAGAAGAAAGACAAGTGGGGTTTGAAGATGTGGATTTTTGCTGAGTCTGAGTCTGGTTACACTCATCACTTCCAGGCCTCCTTGGGCAGGAAACATGGATGTGCCACACCACCCGGGAAACAGAATATTGGACACCGGGTCGTCGTGGAACTGATGCAGCCTCACGTCAACACAAACCATCACGTCATCCTAGATAGTTACTTTAGCAGTCCTGGGCCCGGGATCATTAACTAACTTAAGACCATATTTTGTCTTAACTCTTAAGATTTAGACTTAAGACCAAATTTTGTCTGAAATCGGGGATCACGAAGCTCAATCACTGAGAATATCTTAAGTCTAAGACAAACTTTGATCTTAAGTCCTAAGACTGCTCCTGAGTAGGCTTAAGACAAAATTTGTATCAAGAAAGATGGCGGAGGTTGTTCGCCTCATGCGTCGCCTAGGGGCTAAAAAGTACAAAACAACAATTCATCGCACATTTCGAGATCGTTTCAACCCTCTTGATCTGTACAACGACGAAGAGCTCTTTGAGAGATACAGATTTCGTCGTTGTACCATTTTTTTCATTGTTGGCTTAATCGGTGCTGAACTGGCACACCCCACTCAGCGTTCACACAGTCTCCCACCCATTATTCAGGTTTTGATTTTCCTTCAGTTTGTTGCCACTGGGGCTTTTCACTTATTAGTTGCTCAGTCGTTCTGTATCAGCAAAGCAACAGCCGGTATGTGTGTCCGACGAGTGGCAGAGCTACTCTGTAGGCTGTCGTCTCGCTTCATCGCTTTCCCGACAGGCCAGAGATCACATGACGTGAAACGTGCCTTCCATGCCATTGCCGGTAAGTAATACACCCAAAATTGACATTTGAGCATTAATATAACACTCTGAAGACATATACACGATAAGGATACATACGGTGTTTTCCACCCGAGTCTCCTAAGGCAGCCATTTTGATCTAAAATTAGAGTGAGTGAGTGAGTATGGTTTTACGCCGCTTTTAGCAATATTCCAGCAATATCACGGCGGGGGACACCACAAATGGGCTTCACACATTGTACCCATCTAAAATTAGAACACGACACTGGTGCCACCTATAATTTACTTTACCGTATTCGTGCTAAAAGTGATGAAACTACATTGCTCTGCTTCAGTTCCACAAGCATGCTCAGATCACTGCTAATATTTAATGAATTACTTTATTTAGGACTTCCAAATGTGCTTGGCTGTGTTGACGGCACACAGATTAAAATCCAAACGCCAAAGGTCAACGAGGCTGACTTTGTCAACAGAAAGGGATTTCATTCTCTGAATGTTCAGGTACTTGACTGACTGACTGACTGAGTATGGTTTTACGCCGCTTTTAGCAATATTCCAGCAATATCACGGCGGGGGACACCAGAAATTGGCTTCACACATTGTACCCATGTCGGGAATCGAACCCGGGTCTTCGGCATGACGAGCGAACGCTTTAACCACTGGGCTACCCGACCGCCCCTCAGGTACTTGAAATAAAAAATGATGGTTGTTTTAAAAAATGATTTTTCGTAAATTGAAAAATTTCCATAAACATTGAATTCATACACCTCCTGTAAATAATGTATGAATAATACTACAGTACAGGTCAGATTATAGCATTTATGTTAACTGAATAAAAAACAAGGTGCATGTTCACAATGACAAATAATTTATTAATACACAAATAAATACAAAGCTTTCAAATGGATGTGTATGTAATTTCTAGCATCTGCAATACTAATTTGACAATACCCAAAACATGTTTTGGTAAATTTGATACAAAATCTGCAAAATAATGGGTGTACATACAGGTACAGGCTGAGATTTCATTAAACAAATACAATACATCCCAGAGTTTGCTTTTGCTTCAGACCGTTGAAAAATATGTTGCCTGACACAAAATAAATGTTGAAAGATGTTTTAAAACTGACAAACAAGATGATTTTCCATTCTCCCACCAATCATTCATATTATGAATCATTATTCATAATACAGATTGTATATTTCTTTTACATAGATGGTTTGCGACCCCAACTTTATTATTACTAACTGCGTGGCCAACTGGCCTGGATCATGCCATGATGCCCGCATATTCAGAGAGAGTAAACACTGTGATAATTTGGAAAATGGTAAGTATTTGAGGGTTAAGTGAGGGTTAGTCAGAAGAGATCTTGTCATTCTAGGTAGTGCAAGACAATTAATTTCAATACCTTTTACATGGGGCAATAATAAATAGTGACAAAATACATGTTGCATGTTGGTCGATGTAGTGTGAGTCTGATACTGGACATTTTACAGAGCCTTTATCATGCTTTATAAATATGGTTGGTTGGTTTGTTGTTTAACGCCGCACTCAGCAATATGATATTGATTGTCTGGTCCAGACTCGATTATTTACAGACCGCCGTCATATAGCTGGAATATTGCTGAGTGCGGCGTTAAACAACAAACCAAACCTCTGGGCTACCTCCATTGACTGAGTGAGTGAGTGAAGATTTATAGTCACATCGGCAATATTTCAGCCATATCGTCACTAAATCAAGTTGTACAGTAATAATATATAAAATCTGTCGTCAATGGACAGTAAAAGAACTGGAGTACCACTGCTATAAATATGAAAGTAGTAAGTAACTATATAGAAATTGACTAATCAGGACAATACATTATTAAATTGGGCTAGAAATCACCAGCAACCAAAGTTAGGCCACCATACTAGGGACCATGGGGACTTACGGTAAATCTTCTTCTTGCATGGTATCCCAGCAGGGTTAACGCCATCCCTCTGGCTACAGAGAGATAAAAAATACTTTGAATGAAATGGGACTTACGTACCCTCGCAGGGGGACAATTATTTTACGTTACTTCAACCCCCTTTGAAGGTACAGCCCAGGTAGCATGCCATCATCGGCCCTGCATCGGCCCAACGTCGGCTACACCATTGGCCCAACGTTGGCAAACTGCATCGGGCCGATGAAGTTTTGCTCATCGGATCGACGTCGGCCCAACGCCGGCAAACGTCATCGGCCCTGCATCGGCACTGCACTGGCCCAGCATCGGCCCAGCGTCGGCAAACATCGTCGGGCCGATGAAGTTTTGCTCATCGGATCGACATCGGCCCAACGCCGGCAAACATCACCGGCCCTGCATCGGCAATGCACCGGCCCAGCATTGGCCCAGCGTCGGCAAACAATGTCGGGCCGATGAAGTTTTGCTCATCGGATCGACATCGGCCCAACGTCGTAAATAGTTATCTGGCCAGCCTCCGGCAACTGTTATGGAATCAGCATCGGATGGACATCGGCCCAACGTCGACAATAATTATCAGCGCAGCATCTGCCATTGTCTTAAATAGGCTGATGTCATCAGAAGTCATAACTGACAACATCTCATCTTAATATTTCATGTAAATGATGCCACAATAGAACTTTTCCAAGTGTAGTGTTAGGGTACATAAAACTAAACATTTCTAAAAGCTGCAGCTAGCCATGATGTTTAAGTAACAAAGATAAAAGGTAAAACTAAAAACTACTGAATTTTTAAAAAGATAATAATTTTTTATCATAGTTAATACTTTGAAAACCAAATGTAAGTAATATAAATACTTCTAGCTGAACAATACAATCGAAATGCTTACACTAGTTACAGTACTATTTTTTATGTACCCTAATACATGTGTAGTTAATACTTATAAAAAACACAAACAGCAAAATAGAATAATAAACTTTATTATTAATTAATTATTATTTACAAGAAAACAGTGTTACTACCTGCAACAAGGCGGATGTGAAACATATATTCTCAAAACCTGTTTTAAAACACAGTCTAAACATATACCCCTCATATTGGCCTGCAAAATTTCATTTATGTGGCTTCAAATTCGTTTGCAAGACAAAGCCCCCCCCCCCCCCATATTTCATCAAGTTAAAATAGCATGAAGCAAAGGCCATAACTCCATACAAAATAAGTTCTTATAACCATCTTCTGGAGTTTGTACCTTAGGTAAGCACGGAAAGTTTCATTTATTAACTTCAGTAGTGTCCAAGAGAACCTGGCAGAATATGTACCAAGTTCAAAAACAAGGGTCATAACCCTGTGAAAAATATGTTGTCAACACCAACATTTTGGATTTCTTTGTTCCGCTGCAATTCAGCACTTTTGTTTGCAGATTCTCTATCTACATCTCTGTTTTTCAGTACGCGTTTTCTTTATGCCATTTCTAAGCCTTGCTCCTGGAACTCGAAGCCATTCTTTTACACAGGTCACCATGTACTTGTCAGTGGCTTGTAAGAGCCCAGCTGCAGGCTTCCTCCTCAGCTTCTGTTTACAAATGATAGCAAAAAATGTCAGTGTGCATATTATAAGTCATTGCATGCACTCTCACTATTACAAGAAATGGACTTCACAAGTGTGTTAACATAATGGAATAATAGAATAAGTAATACCCTGTTCACATGCACCACCTTACATATGTGTGTATATTTTATTTTAAGTCTTGACACCTGTTAATAAATACAGGGTTCACTCAAGGAATTTTCTGCCATGGGCCCTTTATGTGACAATTTCATATATTCCCTAGGTACACCCGCACTTGCCCATACAGCACAATGTTAAAATGCCCCATTGTATTTGAAAATGTGGGCCTTTTTCCAAATTTAGGGGCTAAAAGCAGAAGGCCCCACCCTAGAATTATCTGAATCCCAGTAAGTAAATTGATGAGTTAATAATATGTGTAAATAAGTAAATTGAATTATGTGTAATTATATACGCAAATAACATAACAACTCCCAATATTGTATGGTAGGTCCCTAATCTGTTTCTTATGTCAATTAAAAAAGATTTTATAACTGACATATCACCCTATTAATTTAGCCCAATAAAAATCCCCAATAACCACATAACACCCCTCCTCCAATCTTGCTGGAGAACAGTTTTAGGTGTGCAATCTCTCTTGTATGTCCATCAAAAGTAAGTCAGCATGAAATTTCATTAGGAAGATTACCATAGTAAGTGTCAGGGGCCCTTAATAGGGCAAACATGATATTAAATATATGCTTATAAATATTTCAAGCAGAAACATGTATCAGTTGGTTTGGTTTGTTGTTTAACGCCTCACTCAGCAATATTCCAGCTATATGACGGCGGTCTGTAAATGATCGAGTCTGGACAAGACAATCAAGTGATTAACATCATGAGCATCAATCCATGCAATTGGGATCGATGACATGCATCAACCAAGTCAGAGAGCCTCACCTCCAGATCCCATTAGTCGCCTCATACGACAAGCATTGTTGCCTTTTACGGCAAACATGGGTTGCTGAAGATATCTTCTACCCCGGATCTTCTATATGAATCAAAATTGGAGTAAATTTCCCATACTTGATAGTTGATACATCTAAAGAAATTTAATTCACTCACCAGTTCTCTCTCAGTTGCTCGATTTTGGAAAAGCTGCTAAGAGTTCATTCAGCTCATCCATGTTTACCAATAGGAAATGGCTAAACATCTGATTTTCTTAAATAGAAATATAAGAATATTATATGTCAAGTTTGTGTAGCAGCAGTGAGCACTTAGCTATTATGGTGATGATGTCAAGAGGTTGAGGGGAATATTGCTCAAAACATAAAAGTAACATTTAAATAAAGCTTTGGCCATACACAGATATCAGGTCCTTTCCTTAAGTCATACATCTTATCTCATATATTTGCACTTGTACATACAGGCCTTATCTGGAGCCATGTAGCAGAAATAATTTCCCAGGGAAAGTAGTTTCACGTTAATAGCCATAGCCACATCCATTGAAAAGCATTGAGAAAATCCCCATATTGACATAATATTGAACAGATCCTGTGAAGTCTGGTTACCACAAAACAGATTTCATTTATTATATGATGCCAAAATATATGTAGATTACATCATGGTAAACCAAAACTGCAAATAAACGTTTATCATTAACAGATCAGATACAAAGGTATATACATATTACAAACACTTGTATGCAAAAAATAGCAGGAAAGTATTGGGGACAAGTAATTTTAATTTTTAATTTAATTTAATTTAATTTTTTTAGTCAGAATAAATCAAATTTGAAACAAGGCTGTGGGTGTTTTTCTACAATGGATAATGTCCTGAAAAATCTGTACTGAAGTATCTTCATCAAAGTTTTACAATAAATTTGAATTTTGATTAAATAAATGACATTCTAAATTGTCTTGGATTATATATTTAGCATCATACCTTTGAAATAGTACATTTAAAAAAAATTAATTCAGTATTTCATCAAAAATGTACATCATAAATTACTTAACTAGATAAGACTACCATACCCCCCCCCCCCCCCCCCAAAAAAAAACAACAAAAAACAAAACAAAACAAAAAAACAACAACACACACACACACACACACACCCTAAAAATCCATTCTGAAATAGCCATATCTCAAAACCTCAATCGATCGATACAGATACCATACATCGGTATAAGATTTCTGATCGATTATAGGCATATGTCTATGTAAGGTATCCAGCAGATCTTGATAAAATTGCCCACACCTGTAATGCGCAGTGATCCGTTTACTAAAAGAGCTGTCCTGTCATTTCGCCCATTATCCAGAAAAAGTTCAAAATTCGCAAGTAACTATGACATTAAAAAACATATTTTTATTTTTTTTATTTCAACCTTTTGGTGATCGAAAACCAAACTCGGCAGTGAAGCTCCGTTCATCGATCAGTAGGAAACATTAGCTGGATCGCATGACATGCACACGCAATGCTGAAAGTTTCCGAAAGCCTCGTTATGAATTTCATGTTCACTGCTTTTTGCGCTGACAGCAATCACAAAATTGACTTGTAAATTCGAGTTTGTAATTAATTTCCTAACCTCATCCATCCCCACACTTAACAAATACGCCTGTGACAATGACAAATAAAGCAATGTTCATTCAAAAATACTAATGTAAGTAAAAGTTTGGCTATTTATTTGCTTGCCGCTGTAATACTCTCTCACCCCGAGATTGCGACTCGTTGGTTGAACATCGCTGAATCTACATGGAAATAAAACATATCTTGTCATGTTTTGTATTTGCCCTTGTCCCCGCGTTTTGCTAGAAATATGTATATGGTGTTTAAAAAATATAAATAGAGAATTTAGTGAGGATGCAGTGTCACGACATATTCTACGGATTTTGACACTGACGTAGAATTGACAGGAGTGTGTTTCTCGAACCTCCAAAACACATAGGCCTAGATTTCTCTACTCATGTTGACACTTATGAATGTACACTGTTTCTCGTTTCAATTGTAAGGTTTGAAAATGAAATAAACACCTCGTAAATACAGTAATGAAGTAAACACTTACCGCAAAATAGATTTTCCCTCAGCCCTCCGCGCATCATCCTTTCGTCGTCTGCTTGAAAAGACGCGCGTGAGTAACAGCGCCCTCTATAACAAGAGTAGCTTCCCTTGGAAACATGTTGTGAAAACGTTGGACCAACGTAACATAACCGCTCGCGATATTCCAAACTTTTGCCAATATCATGTAATTTGCTGAATGAATTGTAAGATGTGACGAATCCCGTCTGTATCTTCTCTGTCTGTTGTATATGTGCAGCCAAAATGGTCAGTGAATGTGCTTGATCTATTTAATTTTAAAATTAAAAATAAAGTTAATATTTTGAGTTCGAATAGAATTATTGTATTATTCGTAAATATACTTGATCTATTATTTGTCACATTGTAATCGACAAATGTGTTTTTTTTTCTTTTATGTTATCATAACAAGATCAAATCATATATCAGGTTCAATGTCAGTGCCAATCACCAGCATTGGCCTGACAGCGGACCGCTGCAGTTTGCCGATGCCGATATTGCCGGCGGTTGCCGATGCAAAGCCAACGTCGGCCCGACGTAGGTGTGCTAGCTGGGAGCCAACAACAATCTCAGTTATTAATTAATTCTTCCAAATTAAAAAATATACTTTTTTACCTCCATTGACAATTAGGTTTTGACCTGGCCTTGGTATGCCAGTTTGTTTAACGCCGCACACAGCAATATTCCAGCTATGTGACGGTGGTTTGTAAATAATTGAGTATGGAACAGACAATCCAGTGATTGATATCATTAGCATCTATCCACGCAATTGGGACCGATGACATGCATCAACCAAGTCAGCGAGCCTGACCACCCGATCCCGTAAGTCGCCTTTTACGACAAGTATAAGCTAGTCCCCCGAAGACCTTTTCCATCTGTTAAGGGCGACTATGTTTGTCGCAAGAGGCGACTAACGGGATCGGGTGATGAGGCTCGCAGATTCGGTTGATACATATCATCGTATCCCAATTGCGTGGATCGATGTTCATGACATCAATCACTGGATTGTCTGGTCCAGATTCGATTATTTACAGCTAGAATATTGCTGAGTGCGTCGTTAAACAACCAACCAAAGACAGCCGTCATACAGCTAGAATATTTGCTTAGTGCGTCGTTAAACAACCAACCAAACCAAACTGTTAAGGGCGACTAACGGGATCAGGGCCCCGATCCACAAACATCGTAAAACCCGTCGTAACTTTATGACAAAAATCTTAAGCGATCCACAAAGCTATCTGAGTGAAAATATCTCGTAAAGTTAAGAGAAAAATTATGAGTGGTCAGTACCTATCGTAAATCAACCATTTCTGTGGTAACTTTAGTATCAAGATGGCGGCATATTTTTTGCTTGGCTTATTAGAAGAAAAGGCAACACGGTCACGATCAAGGGTTTCGCGACCGAAGTAGAGTACTTGACACGCTCGATGATCACAGCATCATGCTGCGCTGCCGGCTACCACGTCATGCCGTATTTGAACTTATAGACTCACTAAAACCATATCTTGCTTCCCAAACAGAGCGTTCCCATGCATTGTCCCCGGTTTTGATTGCCCTCAGATTTTATGGTAAGGGATCGCTCGTTCTTCACTGGACTTGGTTGATGCAGGTCATCAATCCCCCAAATCACTGGATTCTCTGGTCCAGACTCGATTATTTACAGACAGCCGTCATATAGCTGGAATATTGCCGAGTGCGGCGTTTAACAACAAAACCCCAACCAATGACGGATCCTGGTTTCAGTGGGAGGGTACCCACCTTAGCTTTAAGGCAATCCAAGAATACATCAGAGATACCTGTAATGCCTTCGTACCCATTTTCAAGCAAGTCATAAATAATGGGACCCGTGAAGATTCCGAGGTAGAATAGGTCTTCAGCAACCCATGCTTGTCGTAAAAGGCGACTAACGAGATCGGGTGATAAGCCTCGCTGACTTGGTTGATGCATGTCATCGTATCCCAATTGCGTGGATCGATGCTCATGATATCAGTCACTGGATTGTCTGGTCCAGACCGCCGTCATATAGCCGGAAAATTGCTGAGTGCGGCGTTAAACAACAAACCAACCATAAATAAAGGTAAGTCATCTCTCTAACAATACAGTAATGGCGGCACGCGTATCATCCTCGGCGGCCGTGGGGTGTAGGGTAGGGTAAGTGTCTGTGCTAAGTGGCGCGGTTCTTCTAGGCTGCCCATACCAGTGAAGATTCCGGGGTAGAATAGGTCTTCAGCAACCCATGCTTACGTAATAGGCGACTATGCTTGTCGTAAAAGGCGACTAACGGGATCGGGTGGTCAGGCTCGCTGACTTGGTTGATGCATCTCATCGATCCCAATAGCGTGGATCGATGCTCATGATATTAATCACTGGATTGTCTGGTCCAGACTCGATTATTTACAGACCGCCGTCATATAGCTGAGTGCGGCGTTAAACAACAAACCAAACCTCTTGGCTACCTCCATTGACTGAGTGAGTGAGTGAGTTAAGATTTATAGTCACATCGGCAATATTTCAGCCATAGCGTCACTAAATCTAGTTGTACAGTAATAATATATAAAATCTGTCGTCAATGGACAGTAAAAGAACTAGAGTATCACTGCTATAAATATTAAACTTGTAAGTAACTATATAAAAATTGACTAATCAGGACAATACATTATAAAATTGGGCTAGAAATCACCAGCAACCAAAGTTAGGCCACCATACTAGGGACCATAGGGACTTACGGTAAATCTCCTTCCTGCATGGTATCCCAGCAGGATTAACACCATCCCTCTAGCTACTGGTGATTGTCAGGAAGTTCAAGCCAAAGCATTTTAATTAAAACCAACACGAATTCTACGATTACAATCACAGAGATGAAAAATACTTTGAATGAAATGGGACTTACGTACCCTCGCAGGGGGACAATTATTTTAAATAACTTCAACCCCCTTTGAAGGTACAGCCACCCAACAAGCTCAGTTATTAATTCATTCTTCAAAATTAAAAAATATACTTTTTCCTCCATTGACAATTATGTTTGACCTGGCCTCGGTATACCATTTCGGTTGGTTGATTTGTTTAACGCCGCACTCAGCAATATTCCAGCTATATGACGGCGGTTTGTAAATAATCGAGTCTGGACCAGACAATCAAGTGATTATTATCATGATCCACGCAATTGGTTGGTTTGTTGTTTAACGCCGCACTCAGCAATAATCCAGCTATATGACGGCTGTTTGTAAATAATCGAGTCTGGACCAGACAATCAATTGATTGACATCATGAGCATCGATCCACGCAATTGGGACCGATGACATGTATCAACCAAGTCAGCGAGCCTGACCACCCGATCCCGTAAGTCGCCTTTTACGACAAGTATAAGCTAGTCCCCCGAAGACCTTTTCCATCTGTTAAGGGCGACTATGTTTGTCGCAAGAGGCGACTAACGGGATCGGGTGATGAGGCTCGCAGATTCGGTTGATACATATCATCGTATCCCAATTGCGTGGATCGATGTTCATGACATCAATCACTGGATTGTCTGGTCCAGATTCGATTATTTACAGCTAGAATATTGCTGAGTGCGTCGTTAAACAACCAACCAAAGACAGCCGTCATACAGCTAGAATATTTGCTTAGTGCGTCGTTAAACAACCAACCAAACCAAACTGTAAAGGGCGACTAACGGGATCAGGGCCCCGATCCACAAACATCGTAAAACCCGTCGTAACTTTATGACAAAAATCTTAAGCGATCCACAAAGCTATCTGAGTGAAAATATCTCGTAAAGTTAAGAGAAAAATTATGAGTGGTCAGTACCTATCGTAAATCAACCATTTCTGTGGTAACTTTAGTATCAAGATGGCGGCATATTTTTTGCTTGGCTTATTAGAAGAAAAGGCAACACGGTCACGATCAAGGGTTTCGCGACCGAAGTAGAGTACTTGACACGCTCGATGATCACAGCATCATGCTGCGCTGCCGGCTACCACGTCATGCCGTATTTGAACTTATAGACTCACTAAAACCATATCTTGCTTCCCAAACAGAGCGTTCCCATGCATTGTCCCCGGTTTTGATTGCCCTCAGATTTTATGGTAAGGGATCGCTCGTTCTTCACTGGACTTGGTTGATGCAGGTCATCAATCCCCCAAATCACTGGATTCCCTGGTCCAGACTCGATTATTTACAGACAGCCGTCATATAGCTGGAATATTGCCGAGTGCGGCGTTTAACAACAAAACCCCAACCAATGACGGATCCTGGTTTCAGTGGGAGGGTACCCACCTTAGCTTTAAGGCAATCCAAGAATACATCAGAGATACCTGTAATGCCTTCGTACCCATTTTCAAGCAAGTCATAAATAAAGGGACCCGTGAAGATTCCGAGGTAGAATAGGTCTTCAGCAACCCATGCTTGTCGTAAAAGGCGACTAACGAGATCGGGTGATAAGCCTCGCTGACTTGGTTGATGCATGTCATCGTATCCCAATTGCGTGGATCGATGCTCATGATATCAGTCACTGGATTGTCTGGTCCAGACCGCCGTCATATAGCCGGAAAATTGCTGAGTGCGGCGTTAAACAACAAACCAACCATAAATAAAGGTAAGTCATCTCTCTAACAATACAGTAATGGCGGCACGCGTATCATCCTCGGCGGCCGTGGGGTGTAGGGTAGGGTAAGTGTCTGTGCTAAGTGGCGCGGTTCTTCTAGGCTGCCCATACCAGTGAAGATTCCGGGGTAGAATAGGTCTTCAGCAACCCATGCTTACGTAATAGGCGACTATGCTTGTCGTAAAAGGCGACTAACGGGATCGGGTGGTCAGGCTCGCTGACTTGGTTGATGCATCTCATCGATCCCAATAGCGTGGATCGATGCTCATGATATTAATCACTGGATTGTCTGGTCCAGACTCGATTATTTACAGACCGCCGTCATATAGCTGAGTGCGGCGTTAAACAACAAACCAAACCTCTTGGCTACCTCCATTGACTGAGTGAGTGAGTGAGTTAAGATTTATAGTCACATCGGCAATATTTCAGCCATAGCGTCACTAAATCTAGTTGTACAGTAATAATATATAAAATCTGTCGTCAATGGACAGTAAAAGAACTAGAGTATCACTGCTATAAATATTAAACTTGTAAGTAACTATATAAAAATTGACTAATCAGGACAATACATTATAAAATTGGGCTAGAAATCACCAGCAACCAAAGTTAGGCCACCATACTAGGGACCATAGGGACTTACGGTAAATCTCCTTCCTGCATGGTATCCCAGCAGGATTAACACCATCCCTCTAGCTACTGGTGATTGTCAGGAAGTTCAAGCCAAAGCATTTTAATTAAAACCAACACGAATTCTACGATTACAATCACAGAGATGAAAAATACTTTGAATGAAATGGGACTTACGTACCCTCGCAGGGGGACAATTATTTTAAATAACTTCAACCCCCTTTGAAGGTACAGCCACCCAACAAGCTCAGTTATTAATTCATTCTTCAAAATTAAAAAATATACTTTTTCCTCCATTGACAATTATGTTTGACCTGGCCTCGGTATACCATTTCGGTTGGTTGATTTGTTTAACGCCGCACTCAGCAATATTCCAGCTATATGACGGCGGTTTGTAAATAATCGAGTCTGGACCAGACAATCAAGTGATTATTATCATGATCCACGCAATTGGTTGGTTTGTTGTTTAACGCCGCACTCAGCAATAATCCAGCTATATGACGGCTGTTTGTAAATAATCGAGTCTGGACCAGACAATCAATTGATTGACATCATGAGCATCGATCCACGCAATTGGGACCGATGACATGTATCAACCAAGTCAGCGAGCCTGACCACCCGATCCCGTTAGTCGCCTTTTACGTTCAGAAAATGATCCCTGAAGAGGCTAAAACTCAACACCGTAACCTCTCTCAATGTAGATAGACTACAGAAAATCTCTCAATGTAGATAGACTACAGAAAAGCTGATGAGTCTGTATCTCACGAATGGATTTTGAAGTCACTGGAATGTTTCGGTGACAGGTGATGACTTTGGAACCTCAGGGCGATTCTTTCAGCCCTTTGCTTTTCTGTTTGTCATTAAATCTTTTACGCTTTTTTTTTAGCAAAGAGGAAGGATATCCTTGACCTCCTCAGCACAGATCCCCAATAGCCCTTACTCACCTCCTTTATATGGATGACATTGAACTTATTGCCAATGGAGGATCCACACTCCAAAAACAGATTCCCCTTGTCGAGTCATTTTCTAATGACATCGGCATGTCCTTTGGACTCGACAAATGCAACATTCTTCATCTGAAACGTGGCAAGGTAGAAGAGGGAGGATCAGTCAGTTTACTTGGAGGAGGAGTTATTGACCATCTCGTTGAAGGTCAGGCCTATACGTACTTGGGGATGCAGATTAGGGACAAACTCCAGAATGCCCATATCAAGGAACACTCGCAACAAAGTCAAAGCCACAAATACTTATGCTATGCCTGTCCTTCGTATTCTTTTGGTGTTCTTGATTGGACGAAACAAGAAATTCAGGGTATTGACACCCTCACACGAAGAATCATGTCAGACAATAGATCCCACCACCCTCGCTCTTCCCTCAATCGCTTATATTTACCAATCATTATGGGAGGACGTGGTTTGATTAACGTTGGGACTATTCATGAGTGAGTGAGTGAGTGAGTTAAAGCTTTACGTCACATCGGCAATATTTCAGCCATATCGTGACGAGAACATTTAATATACTGACATGAGAATAAAACACCTGTCATCGACGGACAGTAGAACAACTAGCATATCACAGTTTATAAGTAAAACTAGTTTAGAACAATTAAAAGAATAACCTATTATTCAACAATACATTATAAAAATCGGGCTAGAGATCGCCAGATCCTCTTGTGAAGCTTGTAAAGACTCATGATGAAAACAAGGCATTCCACAGTTTTCTAAAACGAGCCAAGGATGTGGGACATTATCTCAATGTCGGTGTTGATTTTGATTATGGTTCTGTACTGCAGGACGGTACAGAAATGAGTGTCAACCAAGCGAAGTGCCACATTAAGTCATCCCAGACTCGGTTCTTAAAGGAGGGGCTATCTGAACGACCACTGCATCGAGTTTATGTGCAGTGTGTTGAGAAGATAAGCAATCCTGCAGAGGCCTTTGCTTGGATGAAGTCGTCTGGCCTGAAAAGTGAAACAAGGCTTTCTGTTTGCTGCTCAGGCTCCGATTTCTCGAAACAAACTTAAATTTTTACTCAAATCTCAAACTTAGTTTGAAAAAAAAACCTCAGCTGAGTTTTTAACTCAGGACATCGATCTCAGTTTGTTTTATGCGATGTAAGCGGCCTTTGCGCAAGATTTGACTTCCGTTTCCAATGTAAACACGGAAGCGCGTGATGTTACGTTTTATCGTCTGCTGACATATCCGCGATGGCTGAAAGCAAACGGAGGCAAAATTGGACCGAAGAAGAAAGAATTTTACTCATTGACAACGTGAACGAAAATTTAAAGGATGCGGCACGCTGAAGGGAGGAAAAATTAAAGTGAGTGAGTGAGTGAGTGAGTTAAAATTTAACGTCGCATCGGCATTATTTCAGCCATATAGCGACGAGACCAAGCTAATATATACACAATTTAGTTATTTATGCAATGTCATATTTAAAAACAATTGATGACAATTAATGGACAGAGCCTTTAATAATGTCAGTTGCTAATAGCATCACACCAAATTTAAAAACAAGCATTTAATTATTCACATACATATTTAAAATTTATTATACAGACCAATTTCTTTCAAGTAATTTATGATGAGATGCCCGTTGACACGGGAAAAGAGATCTTTTAGATTTACACTTTGATAATGTGAATCCCTTGTGATTGCAAAGTCCACACAGTCAAGCAATATATGCTTGACGGTGAACCTTTCATCGCAAGGGATACACTTAGGAGGTTCGTCCTCATCTGTCTTCAGCAGATATTCGTGTGTAAACCGACTGTGGCCAATACGACACCGTCGTAAAACGATCTCGTCATTTTTCAATCACAAGGGATAAATATTTCAAAGTGTTATCTGTAAAGGATCTTTTTAATCAAGTACATGCTCATTTAATCCTCGGTTTTTTAAAGGAAATAGAATTAATTAATAAATTTTGATGTACAAAGATATATATTTTATAAATTGGTAGAATATGATAATTAACAGAGATTGTTAGTGGCTATATCCTCGAAGGGGGTTGAAGTAGCGTAAAATTATTGTCCCCCTGAGAGGATATGTAAGCCCACATAAATCAAAGTAATTTTATATCTGCCAGTGTTTTAATCGAAGCATATTTGTTGGTTTTAAATCTCCGGCTAAGCCCTGTCAACGGTCGCCAGTGACTAAAGGGATGGTGTAAAAATCCTGCTGGGGTCCATGCAGGTAGCAAAGGTACTGTAAGTCCCCATGGTCCTCAGTATGGTGTCCTCACTTTAGTTGCTGGTGATATATAGCCCAATTTTATCTATTGTAATGTTATGAATTGTCATATTTTATGGTTCTGTACTAGTTTTAAACATATATCTGTGATAATCTAGTTGTTTTACTGTCCTTCGTCGACAGATTTTTATATAGTTTACATATATGTTATTAAAGTCACATTTTCTCTCGTCACGATATGGCTGCAATATTGCCGATGTGACGTTAAATATTAACTCACTCACTCACTCACTCACTTGACTGACAACCCAAGTAGTTATGACCGATTGTTGGTTTAAAGAACAAGCCTGGGAGGAGGTGGTGAAGGCCCTAAATGCGTAAGTAACTATAGTTGCAAATGTTATTGTATGACTCTATTATCGCGGCGTCGGCAAATCTCGTATCAGCATATGAAAACTAATTAAAAGATATAAGTACATCAATGCAGCTGAAGGCCAGCATTATCAAAATATCTGACAGGAATTAAAACAATGAATAAATAATAACAGAACTTTTACTCAATAAGAAAGCAATAACATTGTTGTCATCGTCATTTCAGTATGTTAATTTTAGTATGTTATTTACAAAGGTAAATCAATAATGTCATCACAAGCAGATGTAATAAGTTATATGGTGATTTGTCTTCAGCCAAAGACAAATCTGATGCCATCAGACGGCCCAAAACTGGTGGTCTCGCCCTCATTTGCCGAGACGTTGATCATTGAAAATCTACAAGATCGACCTACCCTGCAGGGTTTGTTAGATGGCTTTGACACTGAAGGTATAATAAATATGCACATGCTTAATATATATATCAAGTATATCACTACTTTTTATAAAAATATAATGAATTATAATTATGAAAACAATTGAAAAAAAATGAATTAAACACTCATCACAGATGCTTATGAGTCAATGTGATAATGTGATAAAATATGTTGACAATTCAAAAAATGATAATGAAAATACATAATTAGTCGTAAAGCTATTTCATGTTCACTGCATACATAACAATAATAGAGTCCTAAAAATAAATACACAACAAACATATAAACAAAGAGAATGGCTATAATGATTTTGTTCATGAATGTTTCAGATTTCAGTGGAACACTATCTGCAACAACTGCATCAGAGGATCCGGGGTTGGGCATGGACATGTTGTCAAATGAGCCCAGTAAGTTCTAAATAATGTACATGTCGGATTTCATGTGCTTACACATATGTCAGCTTTGTACTAAAAATTGAATTAAATAACTTCCTAGAGAAAACAGCAGCACATAGCGCATTTTTGTGCAATAAAGGTACATGTGTCAATGAAAAAAACCTGGTTCAGCATTTATGTATGATTAAATGCAAATATATTTCTGATATAAGTGTTAATTCATCAACAGATACTCATCATGATTTAAACCAAACTCATAAAAATATGGGGCGTTAGGTTATCCTAGTGGTTAAAGCGTAAGCTCATCACGCAGAAGACCCGGGTTCGAATCCCGACATTGGTACAATGTGTGAGGCCCATTTCTGGTGTCCCTCGTGATCTTGCTGGAATACTGCTAAAAGCGGCGTAAAACCAAACTCACTCACTCATAAAAATACAGTGGAAACATGGATAAGCAATTTATGAATTTGGATGAATTATTATTCTTTCAGATTGCCCGGTGCAACTGGATCTTGTGATTGACAAACAGGGAATCCTGCAAGTTCCAACCCCAAGTCCCTGCAATGGTCCTTTCAAGGAGCCACCCAAAAAAAAAAGCTAAATTGCATGAGGAAGAAATTCTTACCCTCAGGGCCGAAAAAAAGAAATTTTTACAAGAAACCATTACATTAAAAGAACAAGCAGAATACTTTAGATCCAAAAACATCATTGCCAAATTAGAGAAGGAAAAGTTAGAGCTGGAAATACTAATATTAAGAAAGAAATGTGTAACATTAGAAGAAGAGTAAAATGAAATGAAAGTACAAAATGAAGAACATAAAGATAGACGTGTAGTCAAGTTTCAAGAGAATAAAGATTGAATAAAGAATGGTTGATTGACACGGTTGAACTTGTGGGTGATTGAATGTGTGGGTCATAATGAATAATGCGTGTGATTGATTGACCGAGTTGAATTTCTGTGACTCGCTGATCTGGGACATGTATATGGGGGGGGGGGGGGGGGGGGGGTGCTAAGCTGTGTGAACTGGTGTCTAGGTTGAATTTGCGTGAGAATATGTGTCTGTGGCGGGGGGTGGGGTTGCTGTATACATATAAAGATATTATTAGTTATAATGTTTTATTTATGTATTTCATTGATTGTATAATTTTAGGAGTGTCTTTTAGGCCAGTAATGGCCAGGTGTATTATGTACACATGACACATTAATAAACTATTTTATTATTATTATTATTATTATTATTTTTATTTTCATGCATTCCTATTGACAGTAACATTGACGGATCCACATACCTACTTTGTCTAACTAGCAAAGTCACTCATCCCTGACTATACCTGGGCTGTCTAATAGCTCCTGTTTACCTGTACACAAGTATTAGAAGAAGCAGGAAGATACCAGATATTAACCAGCATTATCTATCAAACAAATTGTTAATAGCAAAATTCTTTTGACCACAAATACAAGCATCTATGTATCAAAACAGTTGGGAGCTACATCAAATACAGATAGCATCAATGCATTTATGCATAGGTCAGTAAATGTCAGTTGCAATTTACATTGATAATCTAGAGAAAATTGAACAAGCCAATCCCTTGCCACCTTCCCACTTAAAGTATTTCATATTACAAACATTTAGCTGAGAAACTGCTGGCACAAGTTTTTACAAACATTGCTACCTGTCCATTCATCAGCAACATGGACAATGACATTATTATTCATCTCAATATCATCATGATCAACATTTATTATATCTTTTCTATCAATACCAATATTATGTAGAATCACAGGCAGTTATAATTTTACAAGCATTATGAGGTGTTGTTCTTAATCCACTGTGTAAGCAAGAAAATCTTCGTTTTAAAATTCCAAAACTCTGTTCTACTAAAATTCTAGTTCTACAGTGACTTCTGTCATATCTTTCTTCAGCCCGGCATGAGGTTGTGAGGAAAGGTGTCATTAAGTAAGACTTGCATGGATATCCCGAGTCTCCAAGGGGAAAGCCCTTGTATGTTCCTATGAAATGAAGCAGATCAGAATTTGTGTGATTCTTTCTGGTGACATTTGATCATGACATGCAGAAAATGAATTTATTACTGATTTAATAGTGATGCAATAACAATAACCAATTGTCTTGGAACCATCATAATACATTTTTAAGAAATAATCATATCAAGAGGCTGTTTGCCTCTTTCCCTTAGCAATAAATATTATTGGTTCTGTAAATGAACTGTGTCCTTAAAAGTTATGTTAGATTAAAGATGAATTATGAACCCGTACCATTTTCAAAAGCAACACTGATTTTACTATCCATGAAGATGCGGCTGTTATGGACACTCCCTGGCCACTTCACAACACAAATTGCTGAACTTGTAGTTGGCATCGCATATCATCTGATAAGTGATAGAATTAATAGGTCAGTTCAATACATTTATAAGCAAAAAACACAGCAGGTCAGTAAAATGAATAATTGAAATGGTATTATTCATATTTTGGCTGCCACTGTGTAGTTAGTGATTTGTGAATTTCAAAATATAGATTCTATTTTCATACATTTCATGAAACATAAAAAGAACATGAACATTAAGTGGTTTTAGTTTCAGGCAATAACAATTATTTAGTCTCATAAACATAATATGATTACCTGAACATCGAGTGAGTGAAATCCTTTTCGAATCAAATAATCGACTTCATTCCTTGAGGGTGCTAGAATGCGAATGAAGGTTCCATCTAAGCAGCCAGCCAAGAACTTTGGGGAAACCTGAAAAATTAAATTATATGTATAATTTTTTAGATTCATTAATGATAAATTATTGTTATTATGGGGAATTGATTATATTTTATAATATATTTCTTTAAAATTTGATTTTTTAAACGATTGAAGGCGTTTATTTTTATGCATTTTACAAAAGGTATTGGAAAATTTAAAGTGTATATCTTAAAATATGTTAAACGTAATTATTATTGGAAGTTTTCGTCAGAATATCAGGAATTATGTCATGATATGATATCTGTTCGTTTTAGAAAGGGAAAAGTTTTTTATATAGAAATGACAAGAATTAGAGTAGCTCCCCCTTATTTGAACTAGTAATTAATAACACCACTGATATTGTGGCGAGCAATGGCCCGCAATTTGAAGAACATTTTCTTGATCTTGTCTGCATCTTGTCCAGTTGGCATACATACAAAATGCCGGAGATGTTCGATCAGACAAGAGCATACATCTCTGACTGACCGAAACACCGAAGAAGTTGAAATAATCGAATATGAATCGGCGATCAAAGAATAAAAAGATCCAGTGGCCAGGAAACGCAGGGCGACAAGTACCTGCGTTCAAACGGGTAATAGGCTGCTTCGGTTGGAGCACCGTTCAAGTTTCTCACAAACAAGGGAAACAATAAATAAAATGCTTTCCGCACGGAAACGGAGCCTCATGAATAACTCCTCGGGTTCCATGAACTGAAGAGGATTTTGTCTATCGACTAATCTCCTTGACAATGTTGATTTTTGTTTCTGCCTACGACGTCTACGCCTATTCAACACCGCCTTGTTATCACCGACAAAAAAACTTAAGTTACCTTCCTACCTAACTCAAATTGTAAACTCAGTTTGAGTTCAAAATCGAACTCAGTTTGGTTCGAGAAATGCATTTTGCTGAGTTTTCTCAAATTTGAGTAAAAACTCAGACTTGAGTCAGTTTTTGAACTTAAGTTTGTTTCGAGAAATCGGGGCCAGGACCAGTCATTTCCCACTCGAAACCGTCAGTGTGTGATTTTGAATCAAAATGTAAATATGAAATGTAGATTATGTAATGAATTGAATGAGACTGTCCAACACATTGTCAGTGGATGCCCAGCTTTGGCACAAACACAGTATCTTAAAAGACATGATGGTGTAGCTCGATCATTTTATTACCGTCTTCGCCATGATTGTGGTTTTGACACAGGTCCATCCATGGTATGACCCGGAATATTTAGAGGGCGTCATGGAAAATGATAAATACAAAATTCTCTGGAATAGGCCAATTTACAGCCTCAGACGTATCCAGGCCAACAAACCTGATCTTGTCTCTTTTGATAAATCCAATGAAATCATGTATATAATTGAATTTTCTGTCCCCTTTGACACTAATGTGATTGACAAGATTGAGGAAAAACATGAAAGACCATGTGGACCTCGCTTTCGAAATGTCAAGATTGCATCCCAAGTACCAAGTTCTCCGACTCCCCATTGTTCTCGGTGCCTTAGGTTTGGTACCTTCCAATCTGTTGACTGACATGGGAGAGTACCCTAGTTTGCTACCAGGAATACAGCCCTTCTGGCAATCTGGGTAATGCAGAAGGCTGCAGTGTTGGGGAGTCTTCACATTCTCTTGTTCTCGAGTGACTAACACAAGAGACTGACAGACAGTACAATTGGAAATAACTCTATCACCGATTCCCAGGTGATCTGCTTGGTGAACTGGAATAATGCGAAATGCTAATTTAACATCAAATTTGGAGAGCAAAGCTCCTGGACCATCCTAACTGCTTCATCAAAACAGGCGTACGTGCCTGAGCAATCCTGTGGAGAAATGTTGTCATTAATAGACTGGATGTTGTCCATGCACCGATGCCAAGCGACTTGCCTGGCAAGCTTTGAGGCTGTACTTGCGTCAGCGTCACCTTACCTGTGCTGTCGGTCAGCTTCGTTCGCTTTAGGGAACAGCACAGCCAGATCCACATTTTCCCCTTTCCAAATCGTTTCCCCCATAGCTTGCTTCACATGTGCGCCAATGTTGTCGGCCATGTAGGAGAGGGGATCTCCCATGTGACCAATCGGCGAGGCCGTGACGTCAGAGGGAATTCCAGGATCGGCCGCGGCCTGACAAATACTGACAGAATTATCAGTAACGTAGCTCCTTACTGTTGGGGTGTTGTTAAGAAGAGGCCTAGAAGATATGACTGAGGAACCATTATTTGTAATAAGTTCCATGATGGCACCTAACTGTTGAGATAGCTGATCAGCTGTGGTTGCCAGAGTGGGAGGTTCCGGGGCGGGAGCGGCTGCCACAGGGGCAAGAGATTGCAATAAAAATGAAGAATTGACGTTGACATTTAGCATTGCAGACCTTGGCCTATCGTGTGAAACGAAGTTTGGTACCTCACCCGGTGTTGTAGCTGTTGTTGCTAATGACGTCCTAATTGCAGTAGTAGACCTCCGGTTCTTACCGCCGGTCCTCACCAGCTTGTGATTCACCGATGCCTTACGCTTTGGTGGCATTATGAGCGGTGTATGGCGAAAGAGAAAGTCGAAGACGAGGAGTAATTATAATCGGTGAAGAGGAGTCAAAATTAGCAGTCACAAGCCGAAAAGTAGAGCCGAAGAGCCAAAAGTTGAGAATTGCTGTACAAAAACTGGGTACAGAAAATTTTGACAGAACTAACGGACGATGGTGATGACGCAAAAGAAAGTTTGATGACGTCATAGGAAGTAGAATTATGACGTAAGTGGCGGGAGATTGGAAGAGGAAATGATGTAAGCTAAGTAAACAAAGAGGTGCCTTATGGTTTCAATAAACCCATTTAGAGAAGCACTAAATGAAATTATTTACAGAACGTCCTCATATAGCTGAGTGCGGCGTTAAACAACAAACATCATGTCAATCACTGGATTGTCTGGTCCTGACTATATTTACATACAGACCGCCGTCTGAAAGCCGATAATAATAATAATCACTGATTGCTTATGTCGTTGTTGACGTTTTGAATCACTAACTCTATGGCTTGAGAAGTAGTGCTTTCTCACAATTATTTTCTGTAATGCTGAGATTGCACTATGGCAGCTACAGGTGATCATGACACGTAGTTGAAAGGATCTAGTGTTGTTCTTTAACTGTAAAGACATTCCATAGGCCCACAGAATACATTGCATATTAACGATGGTGTTTCATACAGATGATTTCAAATTACACTAAGTTCTGTTAAACGAAATACAGTGTTGTAGAGAAGGCAGTTTCCAGTGATTGCAATCTGGCATTTCACATACAGGTACAGTGGATTTCAACAAATGTGTGAGTTTATGGTCCTATCAAAACTAGCTATTGTTGTTGAAGGTTGCTATAATTACGGCAGGGGTCCGAATACTGGAATGTTTGTGAGAGAGATCTATCAGGATTTGTTTGAGTGGCTACATCAAAACATGCACATTATTCCCGACAGGAGTTACCGAACTATGTTTATTGTGGGGTGAAGGGGTGTGTTTTGTGTTGTAAACTTTAGTAACAAAATGAGTGAGTAGAAATTTACGCACTTTTCCACCGCAATGACCGCGGGGACACAAGGGGTGGACAATTGTAAGATGAAATGGGGATGTTATTCGGCACTTAATCACATAAGCTTCAAATATATATGTCAACCCAAACAATGGTGTTTCCTTTCCCGAAACTATACACTGTTCATATGGAATCGCGATTCTTCAGAGAAAAACTAGGAACATCATTTTGTAATCTAAGCGGTATGAAACACCGTAGCTGAACGTGTGCCTGAAGGTGGCCTCTGTCCAGAATGAACCAATCTACAGGGTGACAAGCAGTTGGTTCCAAAATTATTTAGGAGGATCGATTGAACGATCTGTCAATGATTATGGCTTGTTTGAGCGAGAAGGGATTTACGCACCTTTCTACCAATATTACGGCTTTGACACCAGAAATGGGTTTCACATAATATAATAAAACCATGTGAGGTATCGAACCTCGGCCTTTGTTGTGACGAGCGAACGCTTAAATCACCAGGCTAACCCACCTCTAAATATGACGTTGTCCAACTTTGGTAACAGACCACACAACGGTGAACATACCTAACTTAATGCATGCTCAACCTGTTCGATTGTTTTTTTGTTTGTTTGTTGTTTAACGCCGCACCCAGCAATATACCAGCTAAATGACGGCGGTCTGTAAATAATCGAGTCTGGACCAGACAATCAAGTGATTTACATCATAAACATCGATCCACGCAATTGGGATCGATGACATGCATCAACCAAGTCAACGAGCCTGACCACCCGATCCCGTGTGTCGCCTTTTACAACAAGCATAGACTAGTCGCCTTTTACGGCAAGCATGGGTTGCTGAAGACGTATGCTACACCGGATCTTCACGGGTCTCTCGATTGTACGAATCCGACTATATCATGGTTGGCGACGATGTTTGTCGCAAGAGGCGACTAACGAGATCGGGGGGTCAGGCTCGCTCACTTGTTTGATGCATGTCATCGATCCCAATTACGTGGATCGGTGCTCATGATATCAATCACTGGATTGTCTGGTCCAGGCTCGATTATTTCATATAGATGGAATATTGCTGAATGCGGCGTTAAACAAACAAACCAATGAGCATGTGTTTATGAATCACTGGACCCGTGAAGATCCGTGTTAATAATTAAACAACAAACGAAAAAACAAAAACAATATGAATCACTATCAAATAGTGATGACACCAGGTGTTCACTAATCCTGCTCAATGTGTGGCGTTAAACAACAAACAAACAAACAAACTCAATGGGTGGCACCCGTTACAAACGTTTCAGGGCTCCTTTTTATCCCTTCATCAGCTGAATGGAACACTGTTCATATGCGTGTACATAACATGTAAACTTTCTTATTTTGTTGAGTATAAATAAACTGATTAACCTTCAGTGGAACATTCCAAGGTTGCAACACTGAAACACATTAAGATTCAGGTATAAATTGCTGACCCAGGATCACAGACCCCAGAGACTGCTTGCGAGGCACCATGTCTCAGCTGTTGCCTCTTCTCCTGTGTGCTGTTGTTGGGTGTTCCCTTCAGGGAGCAGCTGGACAATCAACCAATGCAGAGGGCCAAGTGGGTGCGGATAAAGGCGAGTAGCGAAATCGTTTATTATCTATTCTCTTGATCAATATAAGTTTCAGTCCTCATCGAGATCCGTTTCACCTTTGTTTCACAGAGGTACTTTTCAGTGAATGTGCGATTTGGTTAAAAGACGTTATATGTGATACCACGACGTGTCGGCTTTCTCGAACTCAGGAAACGGTAGTAGTTGGTTGGTTTTTGTTTAACGCCGCACTCAGCAATATTCCAGCTATATGACGGCGGTCTGTAAACGTTCTGTGTAACATTTTAGCACGTTTGTACATTCAATAACTGCTGTTTAAGTTGAACGGAACTAATCTATGCATCATCAACATTTAGTTCTAGCTTGTGTCGTATTCGACTAGAATTGGTCTTCAGCAACCCATGCTTGCCGTAAAAGGCGACTATGCTTGTCGTAGGGGGCGACTAACGGGATCTGGTGGTCAGGATCGGTGCCGTTGTTTGTTTGTTGTTTAACGCCGCACTCAGCAGTATTCCAGCTATATGACGGCGGTCTGTAAATGATCGAGCCTGGACCAGACAATCCAGTGATTGACATCAAGAACTTTGATCCACGCAATTGGGATCGATGACATCCTTCAACCGATCCCGCCTCTTACGACACGCATAGTCGCCATTTACACAGCAAGCATGGGTTGCTGAAGACCTTTTCTACCCCGGCTGGTTGGTTGGTTTGTTGTTTAACTCCGCAATATTCCAGCTATATGACGACGGTCTGTAAATAATCGAATATGGACCAGACAATCAAGTGATTGATATCATGCGCATCGATCCACGCAATTGGGATCGAGGTTTTCTACCCCGAATCTTAAAGGGCCTATAGCTGGAATATTGCCGAGTACGGCGTTAACAAAAAAACAAACAAACAGTAAATGATCGAGTCTCGATCTTCACTGGTCAATACTAGTTTGACCTAAGGTAAACGTAGGTCAGTGTAGATCACGAGCAATGATTGTTCTATTCAGATGCACTTAAAGATGACGTGGCCTTCCTTGTCAATAGTGTACGGACAATGGTGAAAGAACAGCAGGAAAGGATCATCCAAGAGGACATTTCGTCTTCAACAGTGAAAGACAGTAAGTTGACTATGTCGTCTGAAGGAAAATATTGTTTCCAACTCAGGTGCGGTAACCGTATTTCAATATATTAAAGTCGTTTATAGGGAGCAGGAGAGATATCGGTTACCGCAGTTATTGGCAACCTGTCACACGATGCGCATTAGTGGCAGTAGAAATGACAGACCCACAAAAGATAGGTAAAGAAAATAATTGATTACAAAGCAAACATAAACAAAAGCGATTACATAATTCCCACTAAATTGTAAGTACCTAATTACTCAAGTCCTAATAGTAAACTGATAATAATGCTAACAGTACTAACTTCATATTACATATCTACCCATACAGATTCTAGTTCTCATAACTAGTTTTAAATCAGAACTGTGATATACTAGTTATTGTACTGTCCATCGTTGACAGGTTGTTATTTCGTCTCAATATATGTCTTATTAATGTACTTCTCATCACGATATGGCTGAAATACTGCCGATGTGACGTTAAATCTTAACTCACTCACTCACTCAAAGATTCTAGTAAAATACATTATATAAGTTCAGGTATCAGCACCTGATATTTGTGAGTGAGTGAGTGAGTGAGTATGCTTTTACGCCACTTTTAGCAATATAACAGCAATATCACGGGGGGGGGGGGGGGACACCAGAAATGGGCTTCACACATTGTACCCATGTAGTAAATCGAGCCCGGGTTTTTCGGCGTGACGAGCGAACGCTTTAACCACTAGGCTACCCGACCGCCCCATAATGACATCATAAGCAGGTTCAGGACATTATGTTGTCATTCACGAATTGTCGTTAATGACAATTATAGTTGTGTTGACATGGTCATAGTTATTACTATTGTCTTCCCTTTACAAAAGAGTTCATAGACCTTGGTCGATGTATTGTCAATTTTGACAACAGTTCATACTGAGTTGACATATACTCTGGAATAAAAGAAGGCCAAAGTAGTAAAATCTTAAATATCTGACAGTGTTGCCGACATCCACACTGAGTGAGTGAGTGAGTGAGTTAAAATTTAACGTCACATCGACAGTATTTCAGCCATATCTTGACGAGAAGTACATTAATAATACACATATTTAGACAATATAAAAAGCTGTCAACGATGGACAGTACAAAAACTAGAATATCACAGAGACTATTTAAAACTAGTTGAGAATATATAAAAGACATAAGTATTAGTGAACAACACAAGATAAAAATGGGCTAGAGATCGTCAGTAACTAAAGGGAGATCACCATACTAGGGACCATGGGGACTTACAGTGCCTTTGCTTCCTGCATGGACACATCCACACTGCATGGATTGGGATTGATTTGTGTGGAAAGAATGATATACTGCTGAAATTTGGTATAAGATGGAAAAATCGCAAACACACAACCACGTGAGAGTCTGGCTCCGAAACACACCAACATGACATGCACATGCAGTATCACTTGTTGGGCAATAAATACGTTAGGTTTTCATTCGCATTCTGTCACAATCTTACAACGCGTGACTAGGTTTTATATCCGTGATCTAATGCAAAAGAGTGAGTGAGTGAGTTGACCCACAATCATAGGTTTCTGGCGTGCCCAAGGGACGCAACTCTGTCTAATGAAAAAGAAGTGGGACACCCAAGTAGGTATAAATATAAAGTACATGAAATTACACCAAATATCGGTTACACCAGCTTGGGCTGTCAGTCCAGATTTGAAGAGGCCATTTCTATGACGATGTCGTTTTGGCCATTCTCGTTATACTCATGAATATTTATTCAAAAGGTGAGGATCCTCCGTTCTGCGTCCCCTGTGACGAAAGAATCACAGTCAAGCATGTCCTGCTTGACTGTGTTGACTTTTCCATCGCAAGGGATCAGTATTTCAAAGTTTCATCCATCAAGGATCTTTTTAACATAAATTCTCATTTAATTCTCTTTTTTTTTTACAAGGAAATTGAATAGATTGATAAATTCTGACTGATATGTTTTCTATATAATAAAGGACTTTTTTGTAATTGGTAGAATATATTTGATAACCGAGATTGTTAGTGGCTGTATCCTTGAAACGATCTCATTCAAATCAGATCAAAGTTTTTGCTGCCGCTTAACAAAGATCTGAGAACTTCCCAATACGGTTCACGTCAGAACCAACTTTCGCAAACTTTGCCCGACCACTGAAATGACTAACAAGAAGCCGACATCAGTCACTCGTTTCAATCTGGCGACATCCGTTTCAGACTACGCTGGAATATATATGAATAAATATGTTGACACAGTTCTCGATTAAAATTTTGAAAACTGAACAAACGAACATTCTGGAATGTCTACTATGTGATTGCGATTGTATGGCAGTGCTTCCCACGTACTGTGCAACGCCTCATCCATTCAAATGTTTATCCCACGGAAGCTAGAGAAAGATGATAATTTTGACGGAATCAGTCGTACGGGTCGTAACTTTCATTCGGAATACCCCGTGTTAACATTTTCGAGGTGGCATGATTAAAAAACACATTCCGACTGTCACTTTCATGATCTGGTAAGCGACGCTTTGATTGGTCGGATGAAAGGTCGTTCTGACGTGACCCGTAATGGGATGTCCTCAGGACTTTGTTTAGCGATAGTGAGAACTAAGATCTGATTTTAATGAAATTGTTCTTTAAGGTGGTTCAAGTAGTGTAAAATTAATGTCCCCTTGAGAGGGTATGTAAGACCACGTCTTTCAAAGTATATTTATTTCTGCCCCGTTTTTTAATCGTAGAATATGTGTTGTTTTAATGTTTTGCTAAATTTGTCAATCATCACTTACAACTGAAGGGTTGATTAAATCCTGCTAGGGCCCATGCAGGTAGCAAAAGTACTGTAAGTCCCCATGGTCCCCAGTACTATGATCCACCTTCAGAGGGTGGCGATCTATAGCCCGTTTTGATATTGTGTTGTTGAATACTAATTTCTTTTTACATGCTCTCAAACTAGTTTTACGTAAATCTGTGATATACTAGTTAATATATTGTCCTTTGACGACAGTATTTTTATTTTGTTTAAATATATATTCTCAATGTCAAATTTTGTCTCGTCACGATATGGCTGAAATAGTACCGATGTGACGTTAAACTTTAACTCACTCACTCACTCCAAAACAAGGGGTAATTATTTAAAATCATCATCTTTTCGTATTAGTTCTCATCACATTTTATTATTATTTTTTTTTAAGATATTGAACTTATTGATAAATTGTGAAAATGTGTAGATTTTTGTGTTAAATTTTGTGATATTTGGAGTGTCTTATTTGTAACTTTGATTGTTAGTGGCTGTATCTTCAGAGGGTTGAAGTAGTGTAAAATTATTGTCCCCCTGAGAGGATATGTAAGACCACATCATTTAAAGTACTTTATTCCTACCACAGTTTTAAAACGTAGTTTTGTTATCATTTTAATTGATAGCTATATTGAGTATCATTGCCAGCAGCTGAAGGGATGGTGTAAATCCTGCTGGAGAACGGTGAAGGTAACAGGAGTGTCGTAAGCCCCCACGATCCCTAGTATGGTGGCCTAACTTTGGTTGCTGTTGATCAATAGCCCGATTTTATAATGTCTTCTTGTATACAGCGATATCTTACTGTGGTAACCTACTAGTTTTATAAATATTAATCTGTGATATATCTTAATATTCTACTGGCCTTTGTTGGCAGGGTTTTATATAGTCTAATTGTATTTATCATGTATAACATTTTATAGTCACGATATGTCTGAAATACTGCCGATGTGACTTTAAATTCTAACTCACTCACTCACTCACATTGTCACTTCCTTGTTTACAACGATAGCGAGATTCGCCACAGTTAAAGCTTTCCGCATCGAAATTAATTACGTTTGAACAGGTAACGCCGCAAAAAGCTCTTGTAAATGGGTGTTTTATGACGCATTAATATTTGGTTTTGGGGGAAATGAGATAAATAATTATTAAAATAATAATTCCGCATCCTAGAAGAAACACTTACAAACAAAAAGTTGCAACGTGACATTCAACCTGAGTATTCAATGTTTTCAGTTTCGGACATCAACGCCACACTGCACAATCTCAAGAAAGTGATTGACCAACATGTACTAGAAGATACTCGGCCATGCCCTCCACCTCCTCCTCCCCCACACCGGAGACATCATCATCGTCCTCCTCCTCCTTATGGCTATCCTCCTCCTCCACCATCTTATGGCTATCCTCCTCCTCCACCACCTTATGGCTATCCTCCTCCCCCACCACCTGATGGCTATCCTCCTCCCCCACCACCTGATGGCTATCCTCCTCCTCCACCACCTGATGGCCGTCGTCATTATCCTCATCATCCTCCTCCTCCACCACCACCTGATGGCCGTCGTCATCATCCTCGTCATCCTCCTCCTCCACCACCTGATGGCCGTCGTCATCATCATCATCATCATCCTCCTCCACCACCACCTGATGGCCGTCGTCATTATCCTCGTCATCCTCCTCCACCACCTGATGGCCGTCGTCATCCTCCTCCTCCTCCACCACCTTATTAACCTTCTGCTGGACACATCAGTGGAAGGTCTCGATCCTGGGGACTGATCTAACATGGGTAAGAATTACATTGTATAAGAAGAATACGTGATATGTGAAGAATATATTAAGAATTGAACATGGACATTTGTATCACATTCACATTGATATTGGGTTAGCTACATAGAATGCAGCATGGTAATGAGCAAATCTTGCACGCACGCGCACATACACATACACACATACAGATACAAACACGGACACACACACACATACAGATACATACACGGACACACACATACGAGGGGCGTTCAATGAGTTTTGCAACTTTGGCATTTGTGTTTACACAAACAATGTCAACTTGTGGTAGGTGTGACAATAGTCATATCATCAGGTTGACACGTGTCATAACATGTTCCAGACACAACAATAAGTTAGATGTGATGACTTCATTCACCTAAGGGTGGTCACAATCATGGATTCTCTCAAACATGAACAGCGTGCAGTAATAAAGTTCCTTACCAAGGAGGGATGCAAGGCAAAAGAAATCCATGATCGCATGTGCAAAGTAATGGGTAAGGATGCTCCTGACTATTCCACAGTTTGCCGTTGGTCTTTACAGTTTAAAAGGGGTAGGGACTCCATAGACGATGACCCAAGGTCAGGCAGGCCTTCAGATGCCACCCAACAAGAAACCATTGCTGCTATAGAAAGAAGAATTTTGTCTAACCGACGAGGGAAAGTATCTTAACTTTTTAGTGAGTTCCAATTATCAGTTGAGCATCTTGGTATGGCCAAGGTATCTGCAAGATGCGTACCTAGAAACCTCAGAGCTCTAGGTCGCCATCAGAGAACTGAAAGTTGTCGAGACCTCCTGGATCTCTTTACCATTGATGAAGCAGGATTTCTTTATCGTCTAGTGACAGGTGATGAAACATGGATCCACCACTGGGACCCAGAAACTAAACCTGGCGGCATGATCCATGATTGATAAAAAAATAACAAGAAAAGGTTTTGTTGTGAATTATAATATAATCTAGGGAGGGGTAACAAATGATTGATCAACCACAGTTTGAATGAAATTGTGCAATCACAGGTAATGTAAGCTCAAGGTAGACAATGGTTGGGTAAGAAATTTCTTTTTCAAAAGTTGTCTGAAATGTCACCAAAAAATTGTCAGACCCACTACAAGTTCATTGTGGACACAGTTGCCTTCAATAGCTTGTGTGACCTCCAGCTGCTTCAATGCATGCTGTGATACACCGCCTCATCGATGACGTCAGTCTTCTGATGAGGTGGACTGGAATCCGTTGCCACTCGTCTCTCAGGGCCTGCTGCAATGTTTGTCTGTCGACGGGAGGCTGATGGCTTACTCTAATCTGTCTGTCAAGATGGTCCCACAGATGTTCAATTGGATTCATATCGGGTGACGTTCTGTTGGTTTAGAAAGTTCCGAGTCAGTCTTGCAGTATCGGGCCTGGCATTGTCGTGTTGAAACAATGTCCCCTGCTGTTGGTTTTGTAAGAACGGAAGCACAACTGACTGCAACACTTGGTCTCTGTACTGCACAGCGTTCAGGTTTCCCTGTATAATCACCAAATCAGTCTTCTGATCTCCACAAATACCGCCCTCACCATGACACCTCCCCCGCCGAATGGATGGACCTCTCGAATACACGCCGGAGCCAAACGTTCCCCTCTTCGTCGATAAACTCGTTCTCTGTCGTCAATTCGAAACAAGTTAAACCGACTTTCATCAGTAAACAGCTATCGACGCCAATTTCTCACTTACCAGCGTCGAACCTGCCTCGCCAATCGCAGCCATCAGGCGTCGATTTTGAGCAGTCAGTACCATTCCTCGGAAAGGATGATACGCTCGTATTCCAGCAGCACTAAGTCGTCGTCGTGCTGTACGTTGGCTAATGGGATGTCCCAACGCTGTTGCTGCCGTCGCCGTCGCCGTCGCCGTTACGAATCTGTTTCGCAGGTGAATGAGCCGTATCTGACCGTCTTCCAGTGGTTTTGTCACTTGGGGTCGTCCGGTTCTAGGCCTGTCCTGTGTCTTCACTGTCTGCCTGTACCGTTGAATCAGCCTGGCTACTGTCAATGGTGTACAACCAAACCTTCTGGCAGTTTGGACCTGTGTTGCCCCCATTTCGGCCATGCCGATAGCTCTCTCTCTCTCTCTCTCTCTCTGCCCCTGTGACAGTCGTGGCATTTCTTTTGTGTGCTTTCATCACGTGTGGTTATACCCTGCAGACGAACGCATTCATACAGCAAACATGCACGTGCAGTTTATGCCATATGCGGGAAAGCTGTTTCACCATTTTTTTGTCACCGCATGAGCGCCGTCAAAGGTGGCGCGTTCGGGTGAGGTGTGTTTTGGTACCTGTTCCTGGGCAGTCATATTCCCAATACCCACTTTCCACTATTAATCGCTGTTTTTAGGAAAATTACAAATTGCCAACCTATACTTTCTTTTGCCGCTTAGTTTAAATTGGAATCCATGCAATGGAAGCGCCCCAATTCTCCGCCTCCAAGGAAGTTTCGCACTCAACCATCGGCTGGCAAGGTAATGGCCACCATATTTTGGGATGCAAGAGGCATATTACTGTATGGACAGTATTCCTCATGTAATGAAAGAATTGCGAAAATCTATTCGCGTTGTGGGATGTTAACACGTGGAATTCTACTTTTGCATGACAACGTTCCTGTTCACAAGTCGAGAATTTGCACAGGCCGCCATATGTGAATGTGGATTCGAACAGTTAATTCACCCACCCTACAGCCCCGGCTTAGCCCCCAGTGACTATTTCCTGTTCCAGCAAATGAAATCTGCCCTAAGTGGAAGACGCTTCCAGGATGACGAGGACATAAAGGCTGCGACAGAGGCGTGGTAAGAGGGCCAATCTGCGGATTCCTATAAAAGTGATATTAAAAGCTTGAAGGTCAAATGGAATAAGTGTATTTTGTGAGTGTGAGTGAGTTGGGTATAACGCCGCTTTTAACAGTATTACAGTTATATCGCGGCGTGTCAGCCTAATGTGGGAGGAAAGCCCGAAGTGATGCATGTCTCAGACGTTTACCACTTCGGTGAAACCTAGAAACATAATTGGGGTGAACCGATTCGAACCCACAATCATAGGTTCCTGTCGTGCCCAAGGGACGCAACTCTGCACAGCGTATCGCGGCGCCTTAGACGACTGGGCCACCCGTGCCCCCGAAGAAGTGTATTAAGGTGAATGGAGATTATATTGAAAAATAAGACTTAGTGCAAAAGATATTCTGCGACTTGGTCTTATATTGAAGTTGCAAAACTTATTGAACGCCCCTCTTATATACACCAACACAGATATGTTAAAGAGAGATGTCCGCTCAAATATTGTTTAATAAATTTCATACCCGTGAAGATTCCGGGGTAGAATAGGTCTTCAGCAACCCATGCTTGCCGTAAAAGGTGACTATGCTTGTCGTAAGAGGCGACTAACGGGATAAGGTGGTCAGGCTCGCTGACATGTTTGATGCATGTCATCGTATCCCAATTGCGTGGATCGATGCTCATGATATCATTCACTCGATTGTCTGGCCCAGACTTGATTATCTACAGACCGCCGTCATATAGCTGGAATATTGCTGAGTGCGGTGTTAAACAACCAACCAACAACAACAACATAATGAATTTCATAGTGACGTTAAAAAATCTGCCTCCAAATATTCCTTTCATATATTTGTATTTTACTTCCAGGAATCTTCTACATCTTCAGCCGTGCACGGGCATAATGAGTCGCAGTACGAAATAAATGATTGAGAATATCACAACTTGTGTTACTTTCATCATAGGAATAAATCTGCAACCTTTCTACGATTATTTTGCAGCCTTGAGAAACACTCGATGTTCAGGTTTATCCACCCGTTAAGATCCGGGTTAGAATAAGTCCTCAGCAACCCATGCTTGTCGTAAAAGGCGACTAACGGGATCGGGTTGAAGCATGTCATCGTATCCCAATTGCGTAGAGATCGATGGTCATGACGTCGATCACAGGATTTTCTGGTCCATAATCGATTATTTACAGACCGCCGCCATATAACTAAAAAACATTGCTGAGTGCGACGTTGAACAAAAATATGTTTCGACGCCTAGTTTATACTGATCTTGACCTTCAAGGTCATGCAATCATTTGTCAAAAACTTTCATCGGGAGTATATAGTATCAGGAGTATAAGTAAGTACCTAACATCTGACATAACCCCCGTGAAAGTCCGGGTTAGAATAGGTCTTCAGCAACCCATGCTTGCCGTAACAGGCGGTAAGAGGTGACTAACGGGATCGGGTCGTCAGGCTCGCTGACATGGTTGATGCATGTCATGACGTCAGGGCCGGATGTTATTTTCCCTCAAACGGTTGCGTACAGCTCTGTCACTGATTGGTCACATCCCAGGAATCTTGAACAATGTCGTCCCGGTAGCGTACACAATTCAAATTGCCATGATCGGCGATGAATTGTTTTCTCCCATGAGCTGTGATGCCATACCGAAAACTGACGACGTTGAGCAACGCAAGCGTTGCTAAAATAGTCTCCTAGACACATGTGGCCCCTTGCCTGATCATCAGAGCTATCCAGATGAAACCTGGACACATCTGTGAACAGTACACTGTCCCAGTTTTGTCTTCTGAACCTTAGATGCTGTCTACACCAAGCTAGGTGTACATGGCGGTGACGTGGAAGCAAAACTGGGCGTATTTCTGGACGTCAGAGCCGGGTGTAATGCTCCCTCAACTGGTTGCGTACGGTTCTGCCACTGATTGGTCACAACCAAGGATATGTCTGAGTTGGTAATGTGGCATTTTGGTATCGATTAGGTAGATGCGCCAAGCGAGTCTTCTTGACGTGACGACACGCGTCGATGTAAGCGTTATTTTCAGAAGTGTTTTCATGTGCACCCGATGGCTAAACAAGCATTGTGTGCTGTTCACAGCAAAAATCACGTGTATAAGTATCATGCTCATCCAACATGCAAACATCCAAATTGTCCACCGTGCATTGACATATGCGTGCAAATTGCAAATACAGTCGAGGAGATGCCTTCATAAATATATATTGAAGGATGCATTATTTAATTTCAGAATTATAAATATTATTTTAACCTTGTATGAAGCATAGTTACGTTTTTACGGCTAAAACATGTTAACAATTACCCAGGTTCTGCTCGTTCACCATAACGGTGTCTGATGAACATAAACCCTTCTCACAGCACTGTCTGATGAACATAAACCCCCATTACAACAGTGCATCATGAACATAAACCCCCAACACAACAGTGTGTGGTTAACATAAACCCCAATCACACCAGTGCCTGATGAACATAAACCCTATTACAACAGTTCGTTTTTAACATAAACCCCCATCACGAACAGTGCATGGTTTACATAAACACCCATCACAACACTGTCTGATGAACATAAACCCCCATCACAGCAGTGGCTGATGAACATTAACCACAATCACATTACTGTCTGATGAACATAAACCCCTATCACTACCGAATGAACATAAACCCCCATCACAACAACAATCCCAATTGCGTGGATCGATGCTCATGATATCAATCACTGGATTGTCTGGTCCAGACTCGATTATTTACAGACCGCCGTCATATAGCTGGAATATTGCTGAGTGCGGCGTTAAACAACAAACCAACAACCAATCACAACAGTGCCTGATGAACATAAACCCCCATCACAACAGAGGCTAATGAATATAAACCCCCTATCACAACAGTGCCAAATGAATATAACCCCTATTACTACAGTTCGTTTTTAACATAAACCCCAATCACGAACAGTGCATGGTTAACATAAACCCCTATCCCAACAGTGCATGGTTTACATAAACACCAATCACAACACTGTCTGATGAACATAACCCCCCATCACAACACTGTCTGATGAACATAAACCCCCATCACAGCAGTGGCTGATGAACATAAACCCCCACCACAACACTGTCTGATGAACATAACCCTCATCACAACAGTGCCAGATGAACATAAAGCCCCATCACAACACTGTCTGATGAACATAAACACCCATCACAACACTGTCTGATGAACTTAAACCCCCATTACAACACTGTCTGGTGAACATAAACCCTCATCACATCATCTATTGATGAGCTCTTGAAACATTTGCGACAGCATTTAGACAGAAGAGATCCCATTATTGGTCCATTCAAATCACGCAATACCAAAATTCAAAATAAATCAACATTCTCATCTCACTTAAGCAGAAACCACAAGCATCTTGCTGTATCAGAGTTATCGGATTCAGTTCACAGAGATAAAATTGATCATGATGAAAGTGAAAATGAGGATGCCCATTTAGATGAGACCACACAAAATCAGTTCCTGAAAAATATTTCTCAGTTCTGGAAGCAAAACACTTGCTACCGGTAGTATCTTTAAATTCAAGATATTATAACGGAATACCAAGCTCTTCATGAATTTAGCAATAACATTGTACAGAGTCAAACCATAGAGAGACTCTAGTCAAATGGGATTTCAGATGTCATCATTAATGACATCAGGTTTGACATCAGAGCATCGGATGTAGTTTGGGGTTTCAGTGAAGATTGGTTGGTTGGTTTGTTGTTTAACGCCGCACTCAGCAATATTCCAGCTATGACGGCGGTCTGTAAATAATCGAGTCTGGACCAGACAATCCAGTGATTGATATCATGAGTATTGATCCACGCAATTCGGATCGATGACATGCATCAACCAAGTCAGCGAGCCTGACCACCCGATCCCGTTAGTCGCCTTTTACGACAAGCATAGTCACCTTTTACGGCAAGCAAGGGTTGCTAAAGGCCTATTCTACCCTGGAATCTTCACGGGTCGTTTCAGTGAAGGAAGGAACAAACATTTCAGTATGTCTCAATTCTCAAAACATTGTCAAGCGTATATACTTACCACAGATTACACATGGCAAACCATAATAACAGTGGTGAATATCTTGTGAGCAACAGTCAGGTTTTCATGACATTCACCAGGGTTCCGTGTTTAATCGCAATGCATTCTTTCAAACACATATGGACACATTTCAGATTATTTAGTACCAGTATGCATTTGAAGATGTAAATCATTTGGGTTCAGGTAAAAGAAAGCACAAGCTTGTAGGAGTATAATTTACTCTGGGAAATTTCCCGTCTGTCAAGCGTTCCACAATTGACTGTATGCAATTAGTTATACTTTGTCGTGAAAAAGACCTGAAACAATGTGGTCCAGATAAAGTTTTTGGTCCATTGGTGATGGATTTGAAACACCTTGAAAGTGTTGGTCTAGATGTGGGAAATGATGTTTTCATTAAAGGTTCCGTATTTTGCATTCTGGGTGATAATTTGGGTTCGCACATTGTTGGGGGCTTGTGGAAAGTTTTAGTGGAAACCATGTTTGTAGATCAGAAACGCTTTATGAATCCTATGCTATTGGAGGTGAGAAAGGAACCCAAGAAAATTACCAAGAAAGTGTCCAAATAGTGCTCAGTGAAGGTCTTAACAATCGCAAAGGAATAAAGCAAAGTTATATCTTTAATGAGTTACAACACTTTCATGTAGTAAGTGGACTGCCACCCCGTATAGGGCATGACTTATTTGAAGGAATTCTTGCCTATGATATGATTTGTTTGTTATTTGTTTGTTGTTTAACGCCGCACTCAGCAATATTTCAGCGATATTTGACGGCGGTCCGTAAATAATCAAGTCTGGACATCTTGAGCATCGATCCACGCAATTGGGATACGATGACATTCATCAAACCAAGTCAGCGAGCCTGACCACCCGATCCCGTTAGTCGCCTCTTACGACAAGCAAAGTCGCCTTTTACGGCAAGCATGGGTTGCTGAAGACCTATTCTACCCCGGATCTTCACAGGTCTCCTATGATATGAAGTTGGTCACTGATTACTTTATGATCACATCAAGATGGTTTACCTATGACCAGCGAAACAAAAGACTGATTGGGTTTCCCTACACTGGCTATGATGCCGTTGACAAGCCCTGTGCTGTAAACCCAACCTCAGATAGAATGCCAGGACATGCAGTACAGAACTGGGTATTTATCAGACAATTTTCCCTGTTAGTTGGAAAATATGTTGCTGACAAAGGACAGGGTTTGGGCTTTTTTCCCTTTGATTAAAAAGTTGGTAGAAATTGTTTGTACACAAAGTTTTGAAATTTTCCAAATTGCAATTTTGAATTCTGTTATAGAGGATTAATTGCATGAAAGTAAAGAGATGTTCAGATGCGTCCAAAGCACCGTTATTTGGTACATTATCCAGAACTGATTTTGAAGTTTGGGCCTCTGATACGCCTCTGGACACTTCGATTTGAAAGCGAACATTCCTACTTCAAGAAATGTGCTAGGAAACTTCAGAATTATAAAAGTCTTATAAAAACACTCTCTCAAAAACACCAGCTTTTCAAGGCTCTTTACAATTCAGGTAGTCTGTTTCCAAATGAATTTGAAGTGGAAATACTATTTTACCCTTTCACCCTGAAATGTATTCAGAAAACATCAAAGCTGTTCTGTCTGGATGTGGCTTAACTAGTTTAAACTCTATGAAGGCAACAAATGTTTGCATAAGAGGTATAACATACAAACTGGGAAACACACTGGTGATCAGCCACCCAACTTCTTATGAAAAGACATATTTGTAGAAGGAATTACAGTGTATTTCTTGGGTCCATGAAATTGAAAGCACATATATTGATGCTATGGATCTTCATGCGTATGAAAGTTCACTTGATCACGAGTATTGTGT